GTGCAGGTGTTAAATGTGAGGGAAGAGAGGGAATGAATTAAAAGCACTCCCCCCATACACAGCTTTTGAATGCTCAGATAACTAAGAAATGAGCACTGCACTCTTGGCTCCCGTGGAACATAAATCCTCACCTGGGGAAAAACACAGAGCTAAAATTCCCTGAGAAACGTGCTGTGGGACTCAGCTCACCACACTGGCCCTGGCCCAGCTGACTCTCGGGCGAGGGCCCTTCTGCTCCGAAATCTTGGCCCATTTGCACAGTGCTCCTTCCTTCTTGCTGGACTTTTTGGCCTAGCAACATTTTCCAGATGTGCATTACTTGGGAATTTAATTAATGTTGTGCCTGCTGCCTCTTTGAGATCATTAACGAAGATGTTAGTTAGGATGCTGATCCCTTCTCTCCCCTCGTTCACCTGAATGCCGTTCAGCATCATGTATGGTCCACCTGACAAGGTCTCTTTGTGGCAGCACTGATTGCTGGTGCTGTTTGCATTGATTCTGGGAGCGAGATGGTTTAGCGCTGCTAATAGTCACTGGCTGTGGGGTGAGCACCGTTGTGTTGAAGTCACCTTGTACAGAGGAGCAGTATCGCTGTTCCCGGGGGCTGGAGAAACTGAGGTCTGGAGAAGAGCACTCAGGTCCTAGCCTGGGCTCCTTGAGGAGAAGTGACATTTCCTGAGGCTCAGGTCAGTGCCATCACCAGCAAAATGGGCTACTTTCTGTTCTCTAAATCTTTCTATACTTTCTCTTCTTTTTTTTTCCCCTTTTATACTCTAATATAGTACTGTGTTGCCTTCCTATACCTGAGAGCAAAAAGAAGATACTACATAGTGGAAAGGGGAATAACTATTACAATTTATTAACGCCCCAAGGAAGGTGTAATCTGCATATATGTGCGCGGTGCAGTGTGGAGAGCTGCTGCCAGCCAGGCTGGGCAAGGGCAAAGGGCAAAGGCAAAGGCAGCTGCTGCAGCAGCATCACTTGGACACCGACTCCCCCTCTTATCTTTATTCTTCTTTTGAAGACAAAACAGGGCTCTGCTTTTCTTGATGAGGGTAAAGCACCCCTACGCAGAGCAGCTTCCAGTCGAAATGGAAGAGGTCTCAAAGTTTCTCCCTAGCCCTGGCAATGTCTCTGTTGAGAGATTTACTCCATGGACCACATCCGCTCCCAGCTCTGAGACAGAAGCATCAGTTGCCATGGCGACTTCTTTGAGAAAGTCATATGGGGAAAGAGCTGATGTATTTTTAGCTTTGGGTAATGAAATTTAACAGCTGGAAATAAAGGTGAGGGCCAGCCAGGGTGCCACATGCTTATGGACCACTGTTTGGGACCGACTCTTCGGCAATGCCAGCGGGAAGAGCTGATGGGGCTGCGTCCGAGGAGGATGCTCAGCCCTGTGGCTCCTGCTCTGGGTGCTGTGCAGGACAGCACCCACGAGTACGTCGGAGGAGAAGGAATCACTATAAAGAAAATCTGATAAGGAGGTGGTGTTACACGTGAAGCTAAAGAGGAGGCACTGACTGAGGTCATAGCTGCTTCATGTACAGTGTGTTCAACCTATAAATAGCTCTTCAAATATACCTCTGCACAAGTGGTATTTATAGAGTGATGAGTGAAAAAAGCTCCATTTGGGGCCAGGAGTTGATGTGTGAAGGATGTTTCAGGCTTGGTCAAAAGTTCAGGTTTCTGAAAGGTATGGAACAGAGCTGGACCCCAAATGTGTGGGGTTTTCGCCTCTGATCGAGGCTCAAAGGTCGCAGTGCTGTTAAATGTGCCTTCTGAAATCAGTGTATCTGGAGAGGATATCACTAGACCTTGGCAGTCAGATATCCTACAGCAGAGCCCCTGTATAGGCGTAATTTATTCAGGTAATTTGGATCAGTCTAAGTCGCGTGTAAACTTTTCTGAAGGTAGACTCTTATTTTATTTTCTAAAATACTTTCTCAGCTCCCTGCAATATTTTTAGTTCTTTCGTCTTCAGCTGTCAAAAGTTTATTTTAAAATTAATTGATTTCGATGTAATATTTACTGCACTTTAGCTTTCAGCACAGCATATGAAAATAGATTTCACTACAGCTGGCAGTGTCTAATGGGATTCGTTCCTACTCCAAAGGCTCTTTGCATTATGTACTGATACTTCCAGCCGAGCTTGCTTTGAACAGCCTCACCATCTTTTCATATCACCGAGCTTACAGCAGCTTGGGCTGGCAGGGAGACAAGGTGAAGCATTTCAGTTTAAAGAAGCCACAGTTGATGCATACCTTGAACCCCAGGTGTAGATATTACAGATCTGGCTCGATATTCATTGGAATTAATAGGATCTTCTCTTTTTGCGTCAGTGGGCTCTTTGGCTGGATTAAAAATTGATCATATCTCATTATGATAACCACAGTTGTGGTGCAGATTAAGCAGTGGGTCGCGGAGGTGTCCTGGCCCTAGTGCATCACCAGAGCATTATTACACAGGGCAGAAAGCAGCACGTGGAAATTGGAGCAGACTTTGCTAACGCACCGGTGTTGTCAGGGGAGGTGGTGAACTTTGATGTGAGGTGATTTAGAAGCAGCCTTTGAATTGTAAAGCTTTAAATAACCTGTTAGCCAAGACGTCACTGAAAGCATTTCCTGGTGGGTTATGATGCTCCTGGCTTTTTCCCAGCAGGACTGAGGACTATCCGTTACCCTTCACAGGGCACCGCCGCAGGGGCTGGTGCCTCCCTCGCACCTGGGAGCAGAGGGAGAGGGGCCTGACGTGCCGGGACTCCGTGGCAGGACCGAGAATATTTCTCACCTGCGGCGTAATGCCTGAACTACCCAAGGGCTGGACTGACTTCTTCCATCCAATCTGTTTCCTCGTGGAGGATAGAGTATTTTTTAATTAGTTGGGTTTTTTTTTTCCCAAAAAAAACCTGCTGAGTTTTCCCTCCCACTTCTACAATTAAATGCTTTCACATGAAGATTAAACTCCTCTGAGCGAAGTTGCGGCGGGCCCCAGCGTGCTGGTTTTCCATATATCCCCATTCCCCAAAGAGATAGGATAAAGCATCCTGTATTTTCCTCTCCACAGCATGGGGCAAAGACCATTTAACCAAAACTAAGAAATCAGTACCTCTTTCTCTCCCCACCTCCAACCAAACCCTTTCAAGTAACCAGGCTCCCAGCTGGCTGAAATGTTCAAATGTCTCTTTTGGCATGTGCAACAGTCAGGTCTGGGGAGCTTGGTGGTGGGGCTCAAGTTGAGAGGTCTGGGAGGAGGCGGGAATGTGCAGAGCCATTGAGGCAGTGTACGCCGGGGGACCTTTGGTGTGCTGCACCATCAGAGAGTGACCATTAAAGGCTGGAAGGGGATATGCCAGGTTTATAAAGCAAAACTGATTGACCAGAAGCTCAGCATGAGCCGGCAATGTGCGATCACAGCCCAGAAGGCCAACCACATCCTGGGCTGCATCAGAGGAAGTGTGGCCAGCAGGGCGAGGGAGGGGATTCTGCCCCTCTACTCCACTCTGGTGAGACCCCACCTGGAGTACTGCGTCCAGCTCTGGAGCTCCCAACAGCAGAAGGACATGGACCTGCTGGAGCGTGTCCAGAGGAGAGCCACGAGGATGATCCGAGGGCTGCAGCACCTCTCCTATGAGGAGAGGCTGAGAGAGTTGGGGCTGTTCAGCCTGGAGAAGAGAAGGCTCCGTGGAGATCTTGTTGCGGCCTTCCAGTCCCTAAAGGGGCTACAGGAGAGCTGGGGAAGGACTTTTTACTCCGGCATGTAGTGACAGGATGAGGGGGAATGGCTTTAAACTGGAAGAGCCCCATCCCTGGAGGTGTTCAAGGCCAGGCTGGAGGTGGCCTTGGGCAACCTGGGCTGGTGGGAGGTGTCCCTGCCTATGGCAGGGGGGCTGGAACTCGATGATCTTCAAGGTTCTTTCCAACCTAAACCATTCTATGATCCTGTGACTCTATGAAAACAAAGTCAGATGTCAGATGCTGAGCCAGGCTGAGGAAGAATGATGGAAGTGATTCCTTTGATGCTGTCAGCATTTTTATTGATCTGAGGCTGTAAACCAGTTATAAATTAGAGAAAAGCTATGAAGAGGAGTGAGGGATGGAAATTGCCTGGGTACCGTTTAAAAGATGTGCAGCTGCATTTATCGGACAAGGGAGAACGTGCGCATCCAGACTTTGGCTGCAGAGCTCCGTACTCGCAGGGGAGGCACTCGGCACCCGGCTGCTCCTGTTCACATAGTTTTGTTGGAGAAAGCCAGAGTTTGCTCTGCCCGTGTGACACAGAGTAAAGCTGCCTTGCGGGTTTACTGAGGGGCTCGGAGAAGGGCGGCTGGAGAAGCCGCCGGGGCTAGCGTTCACTGCGCAGCCCTGCGTAGGGAGGCTTTTCTGTAGATCGTGATGGCTCACCCACAGCAGTCCAGGGCAGACAGCGCAGAAAGAAATGGAGAACGAGTAATGAATAAATGATTTGGCACGGAATATTTAGCCCAGAAAATAGGCAGTGTGAGCATGGATGCCGTTGTATCTATCTGCGTACAGAGGTATGCCGTGTGTGAGTGCGCACACACACATGTATATGTGTGTACGAACATATCATGATGACACTGCCCTGCCTTGAAATGATCAAATGTGCATCGTTAACATTAGAAATGGCAATGCAGGCTGCTTCTGTGTCCCATGTGTTCAGGTGCACTGACCATGCGTTGTCCACCTTGACAAAGTCTCTTTGCGGCAGCACTGATTGCTGGTGCTGTTTGCATTGATTCTGGGAGCGAGATGGTTTAGCGCTGCTAATAGTCACTGGCTGTGGGGTGAGCACCGTTGTGTTGAAGTCACCTTGTACAGAGGAGCAGTATCGCTGCTCCCGGGGGCTGGAGAAACTGAGGTCTGGAGAAGAGCACTCAGGTCCTAGCCTGGGCTCCTTGAGGAGAAGTGACATTTCCTGAGACTCAGTTCATGGGAGTCCTCCACCATAACTCTTCTCTTCTTCCTTCTCCTTTACAGAAATCCGTGAAGCTTTCCGGGTGCTGGACAGGGATGGGAATGGCTTTATATCCAAGCAGGAGCTGGGCATGGCAATGCGTTCCTTGGGATACATGCCCAGTGAGGTGGAGCTGGCGATTATCATGCAACGCCTTGACATGGACGGTAAGTTCTCGCTGTTGATTCTTCTCTGTTACTGGTGGAGGGGGGCTTTCCCAGTGCATTGCTGCCCGTGGTTTTGGCTCAAATAATTTATGGTCACCAAGGAAGGTCTGGAGAGGAATCTGTGAAAATTTGCCTTTCACCACAGCAAGGAGAGGGCAGATGACTGTGGGCCATCAACCTCCTGTAGATAAACCTGCCTCTCAGGTGACCCATGCCAAGGATATGGAGCGTCTCTTATCTGCCCAGCTGATACAGATGGGTGAAGACAGACCAGCTCTTGCAACTCTTCTCTGCAAAGCTGCAAATGGTCTTTTGCGAGGCTGTTGTTACCGTTCTCTTTGCATTCCTGGGCAGCATCTGGTCCAGTGACGCTTACTGGGAGATGACCTGAGCACCCAACTAAGCAGAGTTGCCCGGTCCTGTGGTCTCACAATTCCTTGCAAGTAAAAGATGCTGTGGATGGGAGCTGTGCTGTGTCGTAATGAAGTGTTGATGGTTTTTGAAGGAGAAGTTTAGAAGGGTGGAATAATTTTGAGCAAAGTCCTGCTGTGAGAGATCGTCAAACGATTACTAAGAGGTAATAAAAGAAACAGAACCCACCATTAACGGGAAGAGAGAAATGCAGCATCAGGATGCTGGAGCCAGGGGGGACTTTTTAACTGCTGCGAAGCTACAATCAGAGCTGATCACAGTGAGCGGGCTGTCTTTAAAATGTCCTTGGTCAGAGCAGGAAGGGAGACTTCCCTGGTGCCTGAAATGCGCAGGGAAGCTGGGATGTGGATCTGACCTCCTTCCTCCCTTTTGCAGGCAGGGTAGAAACACTGTGCAAAGTTAGGTGAAATTATGCCAAACCAGAGTGCCGGATGCAGCCCTGGTCCGACGGGGGATGCTTGGCAAGCCCATGCAACACCGGCATCCTCGGGGAGACTGCTGAGAGCAGAGCCCATGGGAGGTGGTGGCAGGAGAAATGAGGCTCTCCTGCCTCCCTGGGGATACCCCAGTCGAATGCCCCGGTGAGATGCACAGTACAACTATATTTATCAGGCCAGTAGAAGTGGGGAAGAGGCTGTCAGCCTGATCAAGGGTGTTCAGCATCTCCCCTAGAGCAGGGAGACAAAGCAATTAATGCAAAACCTGGCAGATAGAGAAGATAGTTGTCGAAATGATCTCATCTCTTGAAAAGAAAAGAAAAGGAAAAAAAAAGCATTTTCTCTAAAAGTTAATGTTGGTACCTTGTTTTAGCCTTTCCTAGCAGACCAGGTGATTTCTCGTTAGGTTTTGCAAAGGCCAGACTCAGCATGGTGCCAATTCATGGGGTCTCGTACCGAGACTCTGCGCTTTTTTGGAAAAAAAGTGCTGTGGACTTGGCTTCCAGTTCTGATTCCTCTCCAGTTATTCCCTGACTCTCGGTCTCACAGACTTGAGACTTTGGCACTCTTTCGTATACACTCCTAGTGTGCAGGGACCTGTAACTGGAGAGGTGGAGTTAAAATGTAGAGTAATGGGCTGCAGATGGAAGGTGTTAAATTCCTCTTTGAGACCTTTCAGAAAGCTCAGTGTATTTTCTGCAGAGAGGGGAGGCGATTCTCCATCTCTTCCAGCTCAACGGTTCCATCAGCTCCAAAGATACAGTCCAGTTGTGCTGGGTGTTTTTATTGTTCTTATGCCTCAGCGGCCTGTTGTTGCAGTATTTTGAGCAGAGGGTTTGGGAGCTGGACACAAGTCTGTGCTATGTGAAGGTCAAATGAGCCATACATTAAAAAATGACAGGGTAATGGGAAATTCCTTAGGCGGTGAGCAAATAGGGGAATATTATGTGAAAGATTTACCTTGCCTGCAAATTGAATTAATGCTAGATGGCTTGAATTAATATTATATGGCTTATGGCTACTTTTTCTCTGATGGATTTTCTTCATTTTTTTTCCCTGGGATTTAACTTGAGATATGCAGTGTGAACCAGCAGTAGCTGCCTCTTCCGCTGTCCGTGAGCATCATTAGGTAGTAGGGCTTGAACCCAGTGAGCTGCTGGGGATGTCAGTCGTGCCCTGCGCTTCCAGGGACAGCCTTACCCTCCTTCCCATATATCCTATTGAGGGTTGCCGAATTTTTCCGGGGCTTTGGCTCAGCGTCAGGTGGGTGGGAAGCTCGGCTGGATGAAAGGTCGCATTCAAAGAGGAGTCCCCCGTGGTCAGGAAAGCCAGGAGGGAGGCGGTAATCCTCCTGCGCATCCCCAGGCACCTGACATGAATTACGATGTGGCGGCAGGTAGCGTAGCCAGACGTCCGTTTCTCCACGCAAGGCTGCTGCCAGTGTCTGCTAATAATGAGGTAATACAATTGGCAGTGGTTTATATTTAATCTGAACCAGCCTGAACAGACCTAGTGCAAACATACGGTTTTCATCAGGAATTACCTTGGGAGTGCATTCGCATTGTGGGACGGCAGAATTGCTGTCTCTGCCGTGGCTTATTTAACTGATGGGCTTCAAATAATGAGCAACCGGAGCTGGTCTGAATTTGGTTTTTGTTGCAAACCCCGTTTTCTGCAGGGATGCGGAGGGAGGCTCAGCCCTGTCTAGGTCAGGCTGAGGAGACGTTCGAGCTGCGGGAGCAGGATGGCTATGTTGGACAAAATATGTTTTAAGAGGACCATACGCAATGTGTGCTGGAGTGGTATGTAGCTGAGCATAAACTGATATGACAAGAGCACTTCACACCTGTGTGTCACCTTCTGCCACAAAGGATCTCACCAACCTCAGTAAATAACACAGGGATCGACTCCAGAGACGCCCGAGGACAGTTGCTTCTGGGGCTGTAGCGTGCAGCTGTTCAGTAACGCATAGTGAGACTCCAAACCAGACAGAAACGAAGGCGTGTTTCATAATTCATTGCGTTCAAAGGCAAAATGTAGTTAGTTAGAAAACGCTGCATGAACTTAAGTGAAAATAGCAATTGCACGGCTTGGATTTTGCCCAGGAACTCTTCACAGGTGTTGTATTGCTTTCAATGCCTCCATGGGTGTTGAGTGCCACCATCAGCCTTCCTTCACAGGTGACAAACCAGCAGCCCTGGCATTGACGGGGTGGAAGTGAGGGCAAGGAGTGGGTTTGCCCCCAGAGAATGTCATGGGGTGATGCTGAGGATGCTCAAGAGCTTCCAAATGTCCTCCAGGGCTCAGAGTGGCAGGAGGGGGTTCCTGCCTGTCCACAAGGATGCAGGTTGTCCCATGCTATGAAGCCCATGGCACACAGAGAGGCGTGGGTTACTTATCTGCTGGGCTTCGGTTCCATGGCATGGCAAAGCTGTCGTGGGGCTGGGGAAGAGGGAGAGATTAACCAAGAAATTTTAAGATGGGACTCCAGGATGGGTTGGGGCTCATAAATGGAACAAGATGTATTTTTCCTGTGCCCAGGCAAGTGCAGACTCACAGCAAATCCTATATTAAGAAGCATCAAAACCAACTTCCCATCCCCAGAGACAGCTGTCAAATATCCAAATATCCAAAATCCCAAGAGATTGACCACACAGTCGCACGTCGACTTGGCTTTTTTGTTACCCCAACAGCTGAGGTGAGTTTGGGCCACTGGGGCAGGAGGTGTTTCATTCCCATGCTGTGGCAGGGGGTGAGTGATGGTAGCTGGTGGTGGCACGTGGGAAGCCTTCGGCCTTGGCTGTGCCTTGTCCTGAGGACACGCCACAGCTACATGTGCCCTCTTAGCACGGCTTTGCTGAATGCAGGTATTTCCAGTAAATATCTAATTCTTGCTAGTCCTCACTGGAGGAAGGCAGGCGTCAGAGGCTGGAGTATCCACTGCATTGCCTACAAACGTCTTCTCCACCTTTTCTTCCAAGTTCCTTTGCTGTTCTGCAAGGTGTGCTTCACCCAGGTCAAGAGGAACGCAGCTGCCACAGGGGGAAATATCATAGTTGGCATAAGAAACTGAATTAGGGAGAAAAATGAGAATACACTTGCAATATTTCAAGGTCTGAAGAGAAGTCTTATAAATCATGAGAAACACCCTTTTATGAACTACCTCAAGATGCTATGGCATTGCTGTAATGGGGGGATGAAAGTACTAGAATAGAACAGAAGGCAAAGGGTTTTTCTGTGAAAAAAAAAAAAAAAAGCCTCTTTTGGGGAAGGGAGTTGAAGAATGGTGGTTCCGTCACTCAGAGCATGAGATTCACATTAGGCCAAAGCTTTGCTTACATCTTGATAGAAGTGGTGCGTGACTGTGTGCCAGGAGAAGGCTGTTCCGTATAGCTGGGCACCTATCCAGTGTGCCGTGCCTTATAGGGACACATTGTTTGCTTTTGGTCTGGAAATAGAGGTCAAATTTTACCTCAGTTTATACCCTTGATTTGCTTTATCCTTAGACATAATTAGGTACTGCATGAACATAAACATTGCAGACTATGAGAGGTGCATACATTTCTGCCTGCAATCTGGAGAATGACCTGAAATGTTCTGCCAGTTTGTGGAAAGTAAAATATTTTATGTATTTATGTGCTGGAAAAGAAGTTATTTGTAAATTCTTCCAATTGGCAGTAATGCTAATAAAAATGCAGAGAAATGGCACATTAAATGTGTTGCCTTATCTGGGATGCCTCCTCTTTAAGCAGACTTTCGCAATAAAATAGATGAATGTGTGACTTAAGTGTCAAACTGTTTCGTTACAACATAAGACACTTTTATCTGAGGAATAAAATAAGCACTCAGTGTACTAATTAGAGGAGCAGCTGGTTTTCAGTACCCTGGAAAAATAACTTCAGGCTAACACAAGAGGGAAAAAAACCCCAGTGTGTCAAATTGTTTATTATAGTACAAATAGGAAATACTTTGATCAAGCAAAAGACAAGGTGGTTTCATCAGTGTACAAGCGAGCTACCTGTTACCTTTTATCACATTATGTGATGCGTCAGCAGTAGTAACAAAAATACAGCTATGACATCCTTATGGGTACTAAAGAACAGGGGGAAGAAATCCCAATTTGAAATTCTG